AAGTAACCCTTCAAATTCTTCAGATTTTATATTTTCAAAGAGTGTTATACTCAATACAAATTTATAGGATTATTTTAGTAATTCAACCTTTAATTTTGTTGCTTTCCACTTTTAATAGAAATAGTAATTCTATTTTTTACTATAAATTTTGTAAAATAAAATAGTAAATCAGAAAAAAGTACTTTAAAAGCTATACAACTTACATTTGTGGTCACCAAAGCAAGAATAATTATCAACCATGAAAAGACTTAAATCATAAAACTCGAAGTCTTATTGTGTACAATAATTTTTTATTTGTAGTTATTTATTTATTGAATAGGAATTAACTCAGAAAGTAAATAGAGATTTTTTAATGGTAAATAAAAGAACACCTCTAAACAAATCAACAAAAATATTATAAAATGAAGCTAAAAGTAACAATGTGAAGGAAGAAACTAGAAAAAAATGTAAAGAGATAAGAGATGACAACTTTCTTTATTCTCTTCCAATTATTCAAAATCTCTTCCGGTATGTACAATGTAATGTCCAATGCCATCCTTTATAGGATTTATATAATTGAGGGACTCAAAGGATTCTCATGAATATGTCATCAACCCATTTTATGGATGAAAGGTGAAGGTAACAAACATAATATTAATGAACATCAACAAATGTATAACATCTTCATTACTAATATAATAACACAAAAATAAAAAAATTTCACTTGAACAAATAGAAGAGAAATCTAAGTAGATCTTAGTTAATCTACAATAAGATTATCAATCAAATATTAAGATACAAAGAGTGAAGAGAAGTAGCTATCATCAAAACTAAGACAATATTTATCATGACACAATTTATAGATCGAAAATCAGTGAAACACGCAACGATATTTATAGCCAAGATATATAGAAACTCAAAAGTCAAGTTAGAAAAAGATCATTAAAATATCATTAAATTTCTTTATAAGTGCTATGAAGAAGTGAAAGGACACTTTATATTTTATTCTTTAAAAATAGTTAAATTTCCAAAACTATTAAATCCAAATTTGTAGTTATTGTTCAAAGTTGAAGCGTATGACTATAATTATACAATTAATACACATATAAGAATATGAAGAATCAATTCTGGAATTGTTAAGACGCTGCATATATATATAAATGACTTCTAATAACTTCTTTAAATTAGTAATTGATATGTGGAGAAGCATATAATTATGGTTGATTCATTGTATTGTACTCAATATGATACTTAACATTTATTTAAACGTATATTTACATTTTTTTCACAAATTATTAAAGGAGTATTTTCTTTATTTCAGGATAAAAATGTTTAATTAATTATATTAGATGAATTTAATTAAATATTTTATAACATTTTCATTTAGTGTAGGGGTAAAATGGTAATTCAACTTTTCACTTTGGAGCTTCCCACTTATAATAATACTAGTTTTGATGCACGTGCGTTGCACGTGAAAATCAAACCATGTACCACACTATTTTTAAAAATAATATGAATATTGCTAAATAAAAAATTAGTCACTCTTAAAAAATTTTAGTTACACCTCTTAAATAAATTTTCTACTCCCTTCCCCATAGTACATTACTTTGTTATTATTGTTTTGTAGGTGTTCTTACTTTTAATATAATATAATATAAATAAATATTGATATCAAATATAGAAGATATACTAAATTGGATGTTTTAGCTGGAGTATTAGATTAATTTAACATTCATGTTATGGAGTGTTCTAATTTCACTGAACTTTGAGATTGTCAACGTTTGTAAATCAAACTTGAGGTTTTAAGAAGAGAATAATAGAAAACATAAAAAACTGTAGTTTAAAAATGTGAGGAAACCCTTCCATTTATAGTTAAAAATGTGTAGTATTAGTAACTGCATATTGTTTCTTATCATAAAAATATAGAAGATATATTAAATTGTGTGTTTTAAGAAGAATAATAGTAATAATAATTTATTTTTTTTAAATGTACTTTAAAAATTTGATGAAGCCCCTATTTTTACAGCCAACAAAGGGTAGTGTATGAAAAAACTGTCCGGGGTGCCTTATCAAAAAGAAGTCACAACCCTTCACAAAGGTCAAAACTCATCAAAAAAGTCATAACTCTTTGGAAAAGTCACAACCCTATAGAAAAGTCACAACCCTTCAAAAAGGTCACAACTCATCGAAAAAGTTATAACTCTTCAAAAATGTCACAACCCTTCAATGTGAAAAGTTGTTTGCCTTTAATATAATTAATATAATATAATACACACAAATAAATATAATACAATATAAAATATAGAAGATATACTACATTTGGTGTTTTAAGTTGGAGGTATTATAATAATTTAACATTTAAGTTATTAATTCATTCTTTTAAGGTAGTATAGATTAAAAATAAAAAAAAAGATAGATATAGATTGGTCTAATTTTAATTTGATATGAAATTTTAAAAAATAAAGAAGACTTTTAATTTAAGGATCATATGTATAATATATAAAAATGTCTTTTAACTTTGTGGTCTTAAAGATGCGTCCTCACCCCCAAGAAAAAAAGATCATTCTATATTAAACTAAATAAAAATAAAAGTACAACAAATAAATTGAAAACGAAAGAGTACTTATTAAATGTAGTTTGGATTCTTCAAACAAGTTTTTGATCAAATACTTTTTCTCCAACTGTTCGAGACTTTTCAGATTCTGAACACCAAGTTGTAGTTTGTGCAACGAAAAATCATTGAACTTCTTGTCAAGGAAGAGTTGCTGCAAAAGTATATTTTTTGGCTATGAAAATGAGTGCATATTAATTATCACGATACTCTTCTCGTTTGAAGTTAGGTTATTTCATTCTCCTTTTTGCATCAACTTTTATTGATCTATCTAATTTACCCATAAAAAAAAATTGTAAATGCATAATCGAACAACTCTCACAATCTTCCTTGTTTTAATTAGAAGAATAGAAAACTTACAAAATTCGTAATTTAAAAGTGTGAGAAACCCCCTTTATTTATAGACAACAAAGGGTAGTATGAAAATGTGTTTATCGTGTCTTATCAGATAAGTCACAACCCTTCAGAAAAATCACAACTTTTCGAAAATGTCATAACTCATCGAAAAAGTCACAGCTCTATAAAAAAAAAGTCAGAACCTTTCGGAAAAGTCACTACCCGTCAATGTGAAAAGGTGTCTGCATTTTATATAATATAGTGTATATAAATTTAATATTAATATAAAATATATAATAAACTGGGTGTTTTAAGTTGGGGATATTATAGTAATTTAATATTCAAGTTAGAGAGTTCATGTTTTTAAGATAGTATATATATATATATATATATATATATATATATATATATATATATGATATATGATATATGATGATATATACATTGACTCAATTCAATTTCATTTTATTCCGATACTAGTATGATGTAGTTTGAAGATCACAACTTAAACAAAATTCAAATTAATTCAGCTATCTAATCCTTAAATCATCTATTATATTGAATGTTTCTTGAACTTTCCATAAAATCTAAAACGTCCTTAACAATCATTTAGAGCATCTTTTGGTTTAGGAACCACAAAAGCTCAAAACTTGAACAAAAATAGGGTAATTGGTAAAATAAATTAATTAATTAAGAAATCTATAAAGACTTACTAGGTCTTTGTTGATGTAGTACTAGCAATCGAAGGTGTCATCCCATCCGTTCGTCAAGTTTTCCTCATTAGCGAAATCGCCGACGTTGATGGCGGAGCTCGGTCACCACCGCCAGGGAAGCTGCCGTAATCGTCTTCATGTGCCTAGAGTTCTGGTGATAAGTATATTAGGTCTCTTACGACAACTGCTATTTTGCGGCATGGCCATGAGTTGAATCAACAAGAAAGCTTTGCTAAGATTTGTTTAAACAAAATTAATTTATTAAGAGAAATTAAAATAATAAATTAGTGTTAATTGATTAATTAAAATGAGTGTGTTTATATTATACCTTAGATCGTTTCTTTTATTGTATTTGTAATGGTCGTCAAATTGCAATTTCTCTACTTCATTCGGTTACGCATACAAGTTTCCACAAATGTTTTTTTCTATTTTTGGTTCAATATATACTTTTCATGATGAAATGAGGGGGAAAAGAGTGAAATTAGGGCTTTAAGTCGTCTATGTGGAGGTGGGGTGCGGTTGGCATGCACATGTGGAGTCCATGTGACATTTTAGCACACACATGGATGTTTTTGTTAAACAGAAAGGCAAGTGTTGTCCAATAGTTAGACAGAAAGGGTATTTTTGAGCCGAAATACAGTTTAAGGGTATATTTAAGTTATTTCGAATAGTTTAAGGATAGTTTTGACCATTTTCCGTAGTCGTCTATGTGGAGGTGGGGTCTATTTGGCGCACATGTGGCATCCATGTGGCGTCCATGTGGCATTTAACACACACATGGATACTTCCGTTAACTAGAAGGGTAGGTGTGTCCCAATAGTTTGACGGGAAGTGTATTTTGAGCCGAAATATAATTTAAGGGTATATATAAGTTATTTCGGATAGTTTAAGGGTAGTTTTGACCTTTTTCCAAAAAAAAAAATAATAGAGATAATATTACTACATTATCTTTTGAATATATTAAATTTAATGCTTTGGTAAATGTATTAGATATTGAATAGAATTTAATAACAAGAATAAAATAGATACAAATATAAATTATCTTTTGATTTTTCAAACAGAACAAATATTATTGAACAATTACTTTAATATAGTGACCAAGTAAAGATACACAGAGGGAGTACGACTTCTTATTTTCTTTTAATCATTGTTACTAAAACAAATTAAATTTAATTCTCCTAAAGAAAAAGCACATAGCAAAATCCGACGTGTCCATCTCTCATTGGACCAGCCCACGTACCCACCTAAATCAAGGACACGTGGAAGACACTGATAGGCTAATCTAACGTGTAATGACACAAGAATCCTTGCAACCTTTGAACCCTTTTGTCACTTCCAAGTTCCAAACACAACAAATAAAACTTCAATTGTCCAAGAAAAACACAAATCTATATATCTTTCTTGAAAATTATACATACATATATATTGTATGTATCTATAGGTGAATTGAAAAGTTGAATGATGGAGCCATTGATGAAGCTATGGAGCTTTGATCCTGTGGCATGGAGGGGTTTCTTGTTTTCAGCATTGATACTCAACTTTATATTCGCCTGCCAACTTTTTTTCCTTCAACCCCTCGTATCTGCTTTAGGTAAAAATGAAATATTTATGATTATTTTTGTTTGATTTTGATTTGGGGTTTTCGATTTTTTGTTAGCTGTAAATTTGGGTTATTCAGATTTGTGCGATTTTTAATAGTGACAGTTGATTTGGGGATTTTAAACTTTCAAGATTTGAGCTTTGTGGTAAGGGAATTTGTTAACATTGTATCTTGAATGCATATTGCTATTGTATATGAGTTGGTGAATCCATTTGTGTCTAATTTCTACTTGGAAAGTGTAAAAATCGTAACTTTAATTGTTGAAAGAAATTAGTAGTGAAGAAGAACTTTTTTCGCGATGAATAGGGGCATTGCTAGGCAATATGAGACTGAGGAAGTAGTCTTTGCTGTCAATTGGGTTTTGGTTGGTTGTCGTTAACCTCTAAGATTTGCATTCTTTATATTCTTTTTAATGTTGATAATGAGGATGTGTGACACCAATTTAGATGAGAACGTTAGTACTTCTCCTCTGTCTCAATATGTTTGTCTAGTTTTGACTTGACATAGAGTTTGTCTTCGATTATAGATATGTACCAAAATGTTGTTTAATTGTAGTCTTAAAAGATGAAAGGTGTCATGTGGAATGTTAGAACTGAAGAGTTGCCAAAAAAGAAAAAAAACATTCTCTTTTAAATGGAGTAAAAGGGAAAGTAAGGCAAACAAATTGAAATGGAGGGAGTAATAAAAAGTTAGACAGAAGGGTCAACTGTGCCAATCTTAGGTCCTGCAGGAGTGGGTGAGAACTATATCAGGAGAACTGATGAATATTATTCTCTATCTATCTAGTTAGGATAGTGTTCTTTTGTCTTGTAATTGAAGTGGCACTTACTGTTCTCCTGATACTTTTGCAACTCTTGATGTGTAGACACCAAACCTGGTGATGCTGCTGCATTGTTTGAGAGAGTTCCACAAAATGTAAAAGTTAAGAAATACAGTGAGGCACTTAATGATCTAAATTCAGCCATAGAGGCAGACCCAGCACTTTCAGAGGCGTATTGGCACCGTGCATCTCTCCTTCGTCAGTTGTGCAGGTTGAGATCAAATTTCCTTTTGTTTTTCTTGTACCAGCTCTAGTGTCATGTATGTCTTGATTCTAGTGAGGGTCTTCCTGATATAAGCTTGTTTGATGTATGTGGACATATTTTTGTAGACACTTCCTATTATCTTCCATTTAATGTTGTGCAGCTTTTGGACACTGAAGAATTACAATGATGTTTCTTTTTTATAGGGTAGTCTTCAACAATAACGGTGAACCATTTAATTTCTATAGCCTAGATTTGTTATTCATCTAATCCAGAAACAACCTGGGTTCGAGGTATCTCTGTATCTAGGTGTGAATATGGTAACAACCATTAGCATTAGGCTCCGCAGCTTGAATATTCTAGTATATCCTCAAAATTAATGTTTCCCAGGGTCAACTCCTGTACCTCTTCATTTCATTGGCATCTTGCTCGAGTAACCTACTATCTCAAATACTATTTGCTTTTTTTTTTTTTGATAAACCGAGGCAAGCTTTCGTGCACCTCGACTGATTCCATGGGATGCTTGTTACCTCCCACTAGGTACCAGGTAACTCTATCACCAAGGCTAGGACAGATGGGAAGAATCACCTAGTGTTTTTTTGTCAATCCCTGAGAGCTCATGTTTACAACCCACTTCATTGACAACTACGCCACACCCTTGGGTGTTGTGGGTTATTTACTTTTGCATGGTGCATAAATGTATCTGTGATCCACAAGTCTTGTTTCTGATTAGTTAGCATTCAAGCATGTTGGACCTTGTCTCTACCGGTAAGCTCTTGTGTGAAAAATATATAATTTAGGATAACAAAAAATTTGGGCTAATGTAGATACGAGGAATCGGAAACAAGCTACAAAAAGTTTCTGGAGATGAAACCAAGAGACTCAGCTGCAGAGAAGGAGCTTTCTCAGATGCACCAAGCTAAGAGTGCTCTTGATTCAGCTACCAACCTGTTGGACACAGGTGACATTAAAAAAGCATTGGAGTATATTGATAAAGTCGTACTAGTTTTCTCTCCAGCATGCTCCAAGGTATTCATTCAATATTGTATTGTTGATGTAATTTCATATGTAACCATTAAGTGTTACACCAATGATGATGTCTTTTATATGTGAATTTCTAGGCCAAACTCCTTAAGGTGAAGCTATTACTAGCAGATAAAGATTATTCAGGTGTCATATCCGAGGCGGGGTTTATACTTAAAGAGGATGAGGATAATCTGGAGGCTTTACTTCTACGAGGCCGTGCCTACTACTATCTGGCTGATCATGATGTTGCCTTAAGGTATGCCTTACAAACTCTATCAATTTGGTCCACTGTTTCCTGCCTCCCACTACACCAATCCATGAAAAAGGTAGCATAAAGATGTAAAGAGGGCCTAAAGAAGCTTTTTTGTGCTCTTTGCAGGCACTACCAAAAAGGTCTTCGTTCAGACCCAGAGCATGGGGAATTGAAGAAAGCCTATTTTGGCTTGAAAAACTTACTTAAAAAGACTAAAAGCGTAAGCCTTTTACTATTTTTCCCTAACAGCTTGTTTGGAGGGTTGTTACATATCGTTTCATAATGTATCGTATTATATTGTATTGTACTCTGTTGTTTTGATGCATACAACATTTAGATTAAAAAAAAGGGGTAACGACGACCACACCAAATCCGGCTGTTGCATATAATGGGAAACATATTTATCGATACGATACAATAATATTCAAGTAACATCAAAACACACATTGTATTTAAACTGTTTCTGCATCTTCTTGATGCCCATTAATGAACAACTTCATAAGAAAAAACGTTGTATTTAAACTAACAATACAATACAATAGGTAGCAAGTAGCAACCATCTAAACAAGCTTCAAGTACAGACCTTTATCCTGTTGCTATATCTCCAAGATATGTTACAATGTGAGCTTCTCAAAAGTCAAATCCTAACTTTTGTGCAGGCAGACGATAATGTAAGTAAAGGTAAATTTCGTCTTGCTGTGGAGGAGTACAAAGCAGCCCTGGCGTTGGACCCCAACCATTCTGCACATAATGTAAATCTTCATCTTGGTTTGTGCAAAGTCTTGGTGAAGCTTGGAAGGGGGAAGGATGCTATATCAAGCTGTTCAGAAGCCCTTGAACTTGATGAAGAGCTTATTGATGCTCTAGTGCAGGTTCTATCTCTATCTGCTTTCTACTTTTTTCAACCTTAAAACAAATAGTCAATGACATTTGGATGACCGAATTCTATTAGACCAATTGTCTGCTTAGAAATATCTAGTTTACACTTTACACCATAAAAATTCTTGAATCGTTGAGTTGGACATTTTTTTTTACAGAGGGGTGAAGCCAAGCTTCTAACAGAAGATTGGGAGGGAGCTGTTGCAGATTTGAAAGAAGCAGCTGAAAAATCTCCTCAGGTTTGTTGGCAACTTTTTTTTGTGGTTTTGTTTGTTTATTTTTTTCGCTGTTTAAACCTTTCTTCATGTAGTAATACTGCATCTAAGATGCGAGAAGACATTGGCATGATAACTCAATCATGCCATCACATTGTGCATATATGATATGATATCCTTTTTTTGTAGGGGTGGGGGGTGGGTGGGTTTGAGTTTTGCATGTAACAAGGATTAGATTTTGCAAGTTTTGTGATAGCCATGACTAGTGGCGGAGCCAGGATTTTCACTAAGAGTCTATATATGATAGATATACATAATTTTTTTTTTACCTAACTATACAATGTAATTTTCTGACTAAAGGGTGTCAATAGACACTGATTGAAAGCATGTGGCTCTGCCACTAGGCATGACCAAAAAGTTGGCATATGAAAATGAAAAGAAAAAAAACATCAGGATTCACTGTCTCCAAGTCGAAGTGAGGTCCTTCCTTTTGACTTAAACCAAGTTCGCAGGGTTTTTTTTCAAGCGATTTGTTGTTGCTTGTCTGATTTTTTTTCATTCAAATCCATCTATAATGTGTGTGCTCGTGCTTGATCGTTTTGTCAAGGTTTATCGTTTTAGCTTTGATCTGGATATCAAATAATCTGAAGTACACTTCTATAGGATAGGAATATTCGTGAAGTGCTGATGAGGGCTGAGAGATCATTAAAATTGAGTCAACGGAAGGATTGGTATAAGATATTGGGAGTGTCAAAGACATCATCTGTATCAGAGATCAAAAAGGCATACAAAAAGCTTGCTCTGCAATGGCATCCTGACAAGAACGTTGACAACAGAGAAGAAGCAGAAGATAAGTTTCGTGAAATAGCAGCTGCATATGAGGTTTGTTTTTGTTTTTTTTTCCATCATTTTTCGTTTGAGCTGTTGAGTTCTTTTTTGGTTTTGCAATCGTCTCAGTATTTGGCCGCTACAGAAAAATGTTGTAATAGAAAACATGTAATATAACATAACATGAAAGATCATTAGCACATAAAACATAGTTGTTAACTTGTTATAGTGAAATATTGTTTTAGAGGATACGACTGTTAAAGAAAATTCTGACAGTATTTGTCTGAATGTTACGTATCTCTTAACAGGTTCTCGGGGATGAGGAAAAACGTACACGATATGACCAAGGGGAAGACATTGAAGACATGGGTTCAGGGATGGGTGGTGGAGGATTCAACCCATTCGGTGGAGGAGGGCAGCAGTACACATTCCACTTTGAAGGGGGATTTCCAGGTGGAGGCGGTGGGGGAGGGGGATTTGGCGGATTCCATTTTTGACCTCCATGGCGTTCGTTTGTACTCCTCTCATGGTTGCTGCAAGGGATGCATAGCATAAAGTACAGTAGGTTCTTCTTATACTCATTCCCAAGAAGTTTTTGCTTTGCAGATACCATTTTTTTTCTCCCTTTTTTAGCCGTAGCTTTAAGGAGAATTATTTGGATCAATTAAACAGGTCCATTTTGTAACTTGCTAACTGATGTAGTTACATTCTCAAATAGTGTTATTCTGAAACCAAGTTAAATGATTCGAAATAGTGTTATAATTTTAGGATGATGTACTATTATGTGTCAAACTTATGGGTATTCTTTCGATAATTTTTAAAACTTATGGATTTAAGTCATGTTTCATGTTTTTTCAAAAAGTATTTAGCCATGTTTTATGTTTTCCCGAAAGCATGTTTCATGTTTTTTCCAAAAAAGAAAAAGAAAAAAAGGAGGTGACATGTTTTCAAAAACTATGGTCAAATATATTTTGAAACTTCAATTCAAACTTCACTTACGTTTAATTTTTCAAGAGTATTTAAATATCTATGGTTAGACACGAAGTTATATCCTATAGTGAATTGATAAGAAAGTATTATTGACAATATTGTTTTATATAATAGTGTACAAAGTTGCAAAAGATTGTGGTAATATTAACTCTAAGTCTCATAAAACATGATGACGTAATGATAAATTTATATTGACGTAAAGCTTATTCAACATGCAGTTCAAACAATTGTAAGATGCCGCAATCTATATAATTTACTTGAGGAAAAGGCTTTCAAATACTTAAAACATATACATATTTTAGAATTTTGCGCATAATATGAAATAAATCAAACAAGATGAATATGATTTAATCATCTTAATAAATATTCATTAACAAAGACTATAAGTTGATAATTTGAGTATCATAAAAGTGCTAAAATTTGTAGCAATATAAAATGTACCTAAGAAGGAATACTTTTCTCAAAAAAAAAGGTATATTTGCCTAGTACTTATGGACAAGTTGCACAACAATAAATTACTTGTAAAAAGATTTGATCTTTAGTACCTCTACTTTATCAGTGACAAAGGTCAATGCCCTTTGTTGAAGCTTTCCATCCATGGAGTCCAAACCAGAAAAACTTCACTTTTTTCTGCTCATTTTGTTATTCACCAGTCTCTATTCCTCATCAGCAGCAGCAGTAACTCTGCAATCTTCTTTTCCCAAAGAAGCCTTGCCAACAAAATCTGGGTACTTAACAGTTAACTCAACAACTGGTTCAGCCATTTTTTACACTTACTATGAAGCCCAGAAACCAAGAATGAATCTTTCTGAAACCCCAATTATCATTTGGCTTCAAGGTGGTCCTGGATGCTCTTCCATGCTTGGAAACTTTTATGAACTTGGCCCTTTTCGTGTTTCGTCTTCTGTGAGGCAAAACGTCGAACACCTTTCGCTCGAACCTAATCCTGGTTCTTGGAATCGTGTATTTGGGGTACTTTTTCTTGATAATCCTATTGGAACTGGATTTAGTATTGCTTCAAGTCCAGAAGAGATACCAAGAAACCAACATGATGTTGCTAAACATCTTTTTATTGCTACAAGGAAGTTTGTTGCATTAGATAAGTTATTTGAAAATCGACCAATTTATCTTACTGGTGAAAGTTATGCTGGAAAATATGTGCCTGGATTTGGGATACTATACACTGAAAAAGAATGAGGGTTTGCCTAAATCGCGACGGTTGAATTTAGCTGGGGTTGCTATTGGGAATGGACTGACAGATCCGGAAGCTCAAGTGGGCACTCATGCTGTAAATGCTTACTATTCTGGATTGATCAATGAGAAGCAAAAGACACAATTGGAGAAACTTCAAAAGGAAGCAATTAGACTTACGAAAAATGGCAATTGGAGCGAGGCAGCGAGTGCTAGATCAAGGGTGGTGAATACGTTGAGTAATATGACAGGGCTTGCAACTTTATATGATTTTAGAAAGCTAAAACCTTATGAAGATGAATTGGTGGCTAAATTTCTAAGCAATGTAGAGATTAAGAGGGCTTTAAATGCAAGAGAATCGATAGTTTACGATATATGCAGTGATTTAGTAGGCAAAGTGTTGCACGAGGACGTGATGAAAAGTGTGAGGTACATGGTGGAGTTCTTGGTTAAGAATACTAAGGTGTTGTTATACCAGGGGCAGTGTGATTTGAGAGATGGAGTGGTGTCAACTGAGGCATGGATGAAGAAGATGAAGTGGGAGGGAATTGGAAAGTTTTTGGAGGCGGAGCGGTATGTTTGGAGAGTGAATGACGAGCTCGCTGGATATATGCAGAAGTGGGAGAATTTGACCCATGTTGTGGTAATGAACGCAGGGCATCTTGTGCCTACCGACCAGGCAGTGAATTCTCAGGCGATGATCGAAGGTTGGGTATTGGAAAAGGGATTGTTCGCCACAAGGCTCAAGCAAAAGCCAAACCATATGGGTAAATCACTTTGAGTTCTTTGTGGCATGTGCTACTATTGTGTTAGTTGTACTATGACTTCCTAAAAAATTGAGTTTTATGTTGTTATATCATACCCTTACACGTTTGAAATGTCTTAAATAGAAATAAAAAGTAAAACTTTCTGATAAATGTTTGGAGTGCATTTCGCTATCAGTAATTTCTCTCGCTCCCCATGCTGATTCATCCTCGATATCTTCTTGTTTTCCGGGAATGAAAAACTAAAATGCTGCATCCTAACAATTCAGATGCACTGCAGTTACAGGTACTTGTTCCATAGGATAGATTTGATTTTAAGAAAAATAGTAAATGTGGAAGTTTGTGATATTAAATATGCCCCTGGTGAAGCTTTGTGATAAATGTCACCCAAAAGTCAACATAGAAAAGAAAAACAACTCATGATTCACCAAGTTAGCATGTTTTTTTGCTCAAGTGATTTACTGTTGCTTGTTTGCATATGAATCCAAATATCGATCTATATCTGTGAATCTGATCTCTCTAGAGGTTTATCTTTTTTGCCTTAATCAGGATATCAAACAATCTGAAGTACACATCTATAGAGTATGAATATTTGTCTATGTTGTTGGGACCCTTCAAAATCCCTGTCGCGCCCATGTCATCCAACATTATTTGTGTGGGTGTTGGATCCACACCGAATTTGGTTAACTTACCTTGGGTGCTTTAACTACATATATGACCAAGAAGTATGGATTGATTTGGGTATTTGATTGGCTTTTTTGGGTTATGTCATATGTATCGGTTGTATTAAGTGTGAGGAACATGTTTTGCTGTTAATGAGATATCTTGTGTGATGTAGTTTGACTCACCGGAATTTAAGAAATATGAGAAGAATTCCAAAACTACCCTTAAAATTAATGAATTTTTAAATAGAAGAATACATCTTTGTCGATTTTTTTGCCGGAAATATGACATTCTTTTTGGAATTGACTAAAAAAGGAAAGGGTATCACATAAATTGGATAGGGGGATTATTAGTCTTAGTTCAACAACATTTTAATTAATCAAATTATATACTTATATATTTCAAAGGGGAGTCTTAGAGCAACCATAAAGTTGTCTCTGTGTTAGGTTACGGGTTCGAGTCATGTAACCAATTATTGATGCTTGTATCAGGGTAGGTTGCCTTCCTCGGACCTGCGTGAAATGTAAGATGCTTCGTGCATGTCTCTACCCATTATATACTTATATATGTCATAATATGCATTTATCACCCGTATCTCTGTATTCACGCATGGATCCATAAACCCGAATCCTAGAATCTATGTGATGAAAAATCCGATCTCTAGATTTTCACCGAAGTCGAAGCAACATAGATATCTGTGAAACACTGATGATGTCTGAGAGATCTTTGAAGTTGAGCCAACCGAAGGGTTGGTACAAGATCTTGGAAGTGTCAAAGACAACATCTGTGGAGAGAGAAGTTCACGTTCCACTTTGAAGGAGGGTTTCCAGGTGGTGGAGAGAAGAGAGAAGCTAAGTTCATGTTCTTCTGATATTGTTTCTACTTGCTTTCTCATTTCTGTACTAGCTTGTTTGAGATAAGGGCGTATATCTGTGGTTTTGTTTGTTTTATTTGCTTTTTCCCTGTTTTAAACCTTGCTTCATGGAGTAATACTGCATCTAAGATGAGAGAAGACGTTGGCATGACAACTCGATCACATTGTGCATATATGGGGAGGCGAATTTTTTCTTTGTTTTGTAGTTCTACGTATCGAGTATCAGTAGATTTGAAGTATAACTGTTGGGGATCGATAAACAGGTCCATTTGTAACTGTACAGTGTGGAGCAGATAACTAATGTACTAGCATTACCAAATAGTTCTTCTAATACTGATTCTCTAGTTACTTTCTCATTTGTACACTCACTTGTTTGGGATAAAGGCGTAGTTAATTGAAATTGAATGATGTATACTGGTTCACATAATCAATTATACGCTAGAGTGAGGTGACAACTTAAATTTGGAGTATAATCCTTTTGTAGCTAGTGCATGATCATCAATGTGCTTCATTTAAGTAACAATGTGCTTAATCTTGTACCATCTTTGTCTAGCAAGACCAGCTGAATATTTAAAAATCATATAAAAATTTGATTGATTCCAATTGTGTCACATAAATTGAGATAACATATATTGAGCCCTCCCGTGCATAAATTGAGACAAATAAGGTAATATATATTGGGTTTGTGTTTGCACGGGTTTTGTATCTTCTTTATAAGAAAAAGACAAATCCTAGCATTTGAGAAAGATGGCACAAAACAAGAAGAAGTCGTCTGTATCCTCCAATCGGCATAGAAATTTAGCAAAGATACAGAAGAAGAAATCCATTGTAAATACAAGAAAAACTAATCATTTCAACCAAATTATTATTCAACCAAAAGTGAGTTCTGATTTCAGGGTGCTGTTACTTACTTAGAATTGACTTCAATTGTTATTCCCAATAACTTATTGGATTGTTGTTACGTATTATTTCATATTGTATTGCATTATATTGTATCTTGTACTATACTTTATTGTTTTAATGAATACAACGTTTGGATAGATTCTATACTACTCTATTATTAGTTATTACATAATGTCATGTCATGCATCAACAATAGAAAAATATGGAGGGTACACAAAATGAGAAGAAATAAAATATTAAGATAATAATGTGATTACACCAAATCAGTAGTTACACAATTGTTGGAACTACAATTGTTAAGTGGTATTCTTGCTTGAAAACTTGTTTTGAACTAACTCTAGTTGTTGTAGCTTTTTTTTTTTTAATACTTCTTCGTTTTGATATACTCCATGTATTCTACTTGTCCTATATAGGTCGTAGGAATTCACTTACCAGAGGAAGTATTGACGGACATCCTCAGCAGGTTACTTGTTTGGTCTCTTCTTAGGTTCAAATGTGTTTCAAAATTTTGGAACTCATTAATCAATGATACTTACTTTAGGATGAAACATTATATTCATTCCAGGAATGACCAAAATTCCCAAAAACTTCTTACTACCGAATCATTCTATAATGAGAATGATCTGTATAACTTCTCTACTTCTTCTTTATCGATGGTTCAAGTGGTTGAGGATCAACTAAAGCTTGACTGGCCTTCGAGCTGCAAACCAAAGAATGTCATAATACATTGCTCTTGTGATGGATTGGTTCTTATTCTTGTTTCTTCTAGAGGACTCTATAAATCTTCTGAAAGACTCTATGAGAAACTTTTGTTGTGGAACCCGTCCACAAGAGAATCAATACTACTTTCCCATCTAGAATTTCGAGGGGCATATTATGTATGTGGAATGGGATATGACACAACTAGTAAAGACTAAAAGATCCTTGCAATTAACCTGAATGCAGATGATAGTTCAATACTTCGATTGAACTTCTCTGTCTAAAAAATGGTTCCTGGAGAAGAATTGGTTATCCTACCCGCGTTCAGTGTGTTATGGGTTTGAGGATTGTGGTATGGATTATTTGGCATTTGTACATGGAGCATTTCATTGGCTTGGTAAGTTACACTTAGAATATTATATTACCGTTTCATTTAATATTTCAAATGAGATGTATGAAGAGGTACTGTTATTGGAGCAAATGTATGATCTATGCCCGTGCTACCACTTCATGACCATGGTGTTTCAGTATTGAGAGGAATGCTTTGCTTTTATTCTTCATATCATTATTGGGCGGAGGACAAGGACTGCATTTTTAAGTTGTGGGTAATGAAAGACTATGGTGTCAGGGAATCTTGGACTAACTTTATTAAACTACGAGATACTAATCTTTTTCATTCAATCAGACCAAACTATATGTTTGCGGATTGTGAAGTGTTACTACACTGCAAACGTCTCGGATGTATTTGATCTAAATTCACTACATCTAGAGGACCATTTCGCCGATTAAGCCCTCAATGTTCATGTGTTACCATAAGCAAGGAATTGTTTATGCAGAGAGCTTCATCTCACCTAAATCACTTACGATCATGTAATTCAACTTCTCTTTCTAATGAATTTGTTTGGAACCGAGGCGTAGTTGTAATGTCTTACTGTTAGAGTGACAAACTTGTGAGTATTTCCACCTTTAACTGCTAAATTTTGGTTGTGCTATCTTGTCATGCAGTGATATTGCAAAAATCATAACCAACTAATTGATATATAATCTTTGTTATATTGCATTTACATTATCATTAGCTGTACCAATATATTTTTGATTGTGACCAATGATGTTGCAACTAAATTAGCCATCTTGTCCCACCATTTGTATCAATTATGATTAGCAATTGAGTACATGTTCCAACTAGAAAGATTCTTGTTGAGGATTGCACCCTGCAGAAATCACAATAGAGAAATTAACCAACAATGACTATTGAATGAGCCTCGATCAGATTCAACTCCTAGATATAGATTTGTCTTTGTTAGAAAGTGTTTTACTAATATGGAACTTCCCATGCAAATTCTGATTTAGTCGAGTTCCAATACGAATACCAGATCAGGTGGGAAACCATTTTAAAAAATTACAATAGAGAATGGGATTCACAACTTCAAAGAAAAAACTTACCTCACTTTTTCCCATCTTGTTTACCTTCCATCATAAGCAAATAAAAGCTGCTATAACATCATCAAAATCTTATTAATCCACTTGCTCACCTTACATGTAACCTTTCACCAAACATCACCTTCATTTTACTTTCATCCCAATACCCCACTACCTTTATTCCATCCTTTTCTCTCTTTTTTTGTTTTGATGCCTTCAGTGTTTTGGCTCAGTTTGCGCGCATCCACTAAATACATGTTACCTCCTACCATCACAAGTATTTTGGGTAACTCTGACTACCAAGACCACAAATGAAAAAAAAATTACCTAGTATTTTTTTTGTCTCCGGTAAGATTCACTACAACAAAAACAACTTTTAGCGGCAATAAATAGACACATTAATAAAGAGTGTTAAAGTCTTTATCGGCATAAGTTAAGTGTCATTAGATCCAATGTCACTAAAGGCTTTAGGGACATATACAAAGAGTGCTAATTGCCGCTAAAAATACATATTTAGCGGCAATTGATCTATTGTTGTTAATTAATTGCGGCTAAAGATGATTTTTTTATGTAGTGATTTAAACTTGAGAACCGTGCACTTCATTGACCACTAAGTCACGCCCTCATTGTATAAGTAGTGCAATTTTCTTTTGCCACAACCAGAGCTATTTCAACTTAAGCTTAAACCAAAAAGAAGAAATATGAAGCACAACTTAGTGTCAACCTTTCTCTTTTTGTTTCTCCACTGCATTGGCATTTTGGCTCAAGGTCCATCTCCATCTCCAACTCCACCACCAGCTCGAGCTACGGCTCCTGCTCCGGGACCACCTGGCCCAACTAACGTAACGAAAACCCTAGAAAAGGCAGGACAATGTTCGACATTTATTCGTTTGTTACAAACAACTCAAGAGATCAGCCAAATAACATCATTACTCAACAACTCCAACAGCATCACTATCTTTGTACCACCAGATAATGCATTTTTGAGCATGAAAGCAGGTACTTTGAACTCTTTTAATGATCAACAGAAATCAGAACTGATCAAATTCCATGTTCTCCCTCAATACTTCTCACTTTCACAGTTTCAAACTGCTAGCAACCCAGTGCAAACACAAGCCGGTGGGACTAGCAACCACGAATTCCCTATCAATATAACAACAAATGGAACTTCAGTGAATATAACAACTGGAATTGTCAATGCAAGTATCTCGAATACGATTTACATTGATAGTCAACTAGCTATTTATCAAGTGGACAAAGTACTTCTACCATTGCAATTCTTTGTCCCTCCAGCACCAACACCAGCTCCTTCACCACCTAAGCCTAAAAAGAATGATGATTCGTCGGATTCTGACTCTGTTTCCTCTGTTTCTTCTGGTGTAATCAACTCCCCTCGCGAACTTCTCTTCTTCTTGGCTGTGTTTTGTTTTGTATATGTGAGCTAATATGTTGAAGTTTTGCTATTGTTATGCATGCATTGTCGTTATTCCATTCAATTGTAATTTTTGTTTGGTTTAGTACGTAAGCCAAAAATTATTATCCTAAAACATTAGTATATAATCTATTACCATTAATGCATGGACAAGTTTTGAGCTTATTTTCAAATGGTGAAAGTTAGCACCCTAAACTATACGAAAGGTGTCATATTTAGTTCGTTTAAAAAAGTATGACTCAACGAGGGGGACACGTGGCATTCACCATGTGTTAAGCTTCCAACAATGAAAACAAAGGCAAATCTAGTCCATTTTAGGAATTGCAAGGACACATTTGACCCCTAATATTAACGGATGATAAATTTGGACCATTTCATATAGATCACGGGTAAATTTGACCCTTTTCCCGCTTGCAAATAGTTCATGTATAAGATGGATATTAGGCATTGTGCGTACCTACCTGTGCAGTGTTATATTTATCATGCATTTGAATTGTAAAACACATACCTAATAACCAAAAAAGCAATTGTCTAATGGATTACAAGTTGTAATCTTACATTAATCTCATTAGTTGTACCAATAATTTGTTAATTGTGAGTTTGTGACTGTTGAAATTACATCTTAATTAGCCCTCCTGTCCCACCATAACCATAAATAATGATTTAAGATTGCATTTGCATATTTTTCCCCATAGGATCCTTAGTATCTGACAAAAATGGCAGCCCGATACACGTAAGTATTTCATGTTCACATAGGATCCGAAGAAGAGTCACACCCAACCAAAGGGGGATAAGGTTGATTCCCATGACCTATAAGCTATGTTGCTAAGACTCACCAAAAATGTTCTCGAACTTGTGTTTTATCCTCCTAAAAATGTATTTGTTTTAATTAATTTTGACTTGATTCAGAATATGAGGATCAGATTAACTAATTTTGTGAGTTCAGGCGTAGGAATCTCTAATTATTATTTTTTGAAATAAAATCTAAAATATTTGCAAACTACATAACAAGTACTATAAGCCAAATTAACACTAATATTTAAAAAGTACTTGAAAAAGTTATGATAAAAGAAAGAATCATTTTTTATTACCCAAACAGTAACTAGGACATATAAATTTAAAAAATGAACTACTATGTTAGAAGGATCTGACACACATTCGATTTTTATACAATTCGAGCATCATAGCTTCTAATCACACCGGAATAACTTTACCGTTGCTCCGATGCTCTTGGCCCTCAAGATCTAACAAAAACTCACCTCCATTATTCCCAGCATTATAACAAACTTACCCAAATACTTTTTAAATATAAATTAAAACAAATGGATTACTATTTTTGAAGTCTGAGCATCATAGCTTATAATCACACAGGAATAACTTTACCGTTGCTCTGACACTCCCGTCCCACAGAAACTCACCTCCATTATTCCCAGCTGTTTTTCCTCCCATCAGAAGCAAACTAGCAGCTGCTCTGAGCTTATCAAAACCTATGATGTTCCTTCTCACCTTAAATTATACTCTTTCACCTAACTTTACACTCAATTTTCTTCCATCAAAATTCCCCACAAACCTTTTTCTTTCATTGTTTTCAAAACAAGAAATCTATCCTCTCAACATATAAATAACACATTATACAACTCTTCCTCCACAACATCTAACAAATTGAACCAAAAAAAAAGAAAAAAATAATGAAACACATTTTCTTGATCTTGTTCTTTTTTTTCTTGAAATGCATTGGCATTTTGGCACAAGCTCCAGCTCCGGCTCCAGGTCCACCACCTCCATTAAACGTGACAAAGATCCTCGAAAAAGCAGGCCAATGCTCAACGTTCATCCGTCTACTACAAAACACACAACAACTCAATGAAATCACCTCACAACTCAACAATTCCAACAATGGGATCACAATGTTTGTGCCAACAGATAATGCATTCTTAAACATGAAAGCAGGCACGTTGAACTCGTTTACAGATCAACAAAAAGCTGAACTTATCCAATTCCATATCCTTCCTACATACTATTCACTCACTCAATTCCAAACTGCTAGCAACCCTTTAAGAACACAAGCTGGAGGAACAACCGATAGAGAGTTTCCGATTAATATAACAACAATAGGAAGTTCAGTAAACATTACAACAGGAATTGTGAATGCAAGTATTTCAAATACAATATATACTGATAACCAATTGGCTATATATCAAGTAGACAATGTCCTTCTTCCTTTACAATTCTTTGTTCCTCCAGCACCAGCACCAGCACCAACACCTATAACGCGGAAAAAGAAAGCAGGATCCTCTGATTCTTCATCAAAACAAGATGCTTCCTCTGCTACTTCTCTGTTTCAAGGAATGTACAAAGGGGGGATTTTCCTTTTCTTGTTTTCTACTGCATTTTTTTCGAGTTTATAAATATGATCATGTTAGTATTTGTGTGCATGTATGCTTGTGATTCTTTACCTATATTTCATTGGAAATGAATTTTGAGTGTTATATTTTTTTTTTTCAAGAATTGATCTTGGTTATTAGTTTGGTATTTGTATTCAAGAGGTATATAACAAAAAAGTTATAGTGGATTATATTTTATCGAGTCTGAATAAAGATCAAAGATCTTGAGCGACCAAATCCTATAAGGGCAAACCATAAGGATATGTTGGATCTATAAGGAAATTGTATGTTTGTTGTGGAGTTAGGGGCACAAAAAGTTTATATGAATTTCTTTCGTTGGAAAATTAACGTTATATACTTTTTATATATTCATGTTAGATAGTAGATATTAAATTTTCTTGACTTCTTTATACATTTAATTTTTTTTTAATTGGAAATTCTTTTAGTAATACCAATGGTGAGTCAAAAAGTGATAATTTAAGGGAAGAGAAAATTCAACATCAATTCCACTTGTAGTTGTCCACTCTATTTTTTGTGAAAAATAGACATATTATGTATATTTCTTATCATGTTTGTAGAATCTTTTATTAGTTTTATGAAAAATAGACATATTATGTAATTCTTATCATGTTTGTAGAATCTTTATTGTTTTATTGTGCAACCTCCACCAAAGAATATTAAAGGAACCACAGTCCACATATATATAGGCCCCCTTGTTTTCCTACTTTATATTTCCGCAGTTCCGTCTCAATTTATGTGATACTTTTCATTTTTTGAGAGTTAAACTGTTTACGTTTGATCGGAAATTTGTGTGTAGAATCTTCAATTATTTTAAAATGAAATTTATATATTTGTAATCTACGTAAAAAGTATTATAAATCATAATAATTGACAATTCAAAATAATTAAAAAATATATGAAAATTTTACGGTCAAAGATAGACTTGTTTGAATCTCGAAATCGAAAAAGTACCACATAAATTGAGATGGATGAAGTATTATTTTTATTTATGCCCTTTTCTCATTCCGTTTGTTTTTATACAAAAAAATAAATAAATAAATTATCTGACTTCCTTCCCATGTGAGATATTTTGTCAAGTACATATAATAAAAATTATATGAGTTTAAATGGAACGATATAAACATTGAGAATTTCTATAACCTAACTTCAACTTGTTTGAAATTTAGACTTGATAATAGTTATTTAAAATAACTATAGCCTAACTTCACATCTAAAACCCCAACTTTGGTTCCAAAATTATTCACAAGTATGTTTGGATGGGCTAAAGCTCATCTTATTCACAAATATCGAGCAAGCATCACTTTGGTACAAATTGTTCACTAGTTTGAATGAGCAAAACTTGTACGTATTGTTCAATTATTCATATAACTTATGAATTATAATTAATATAAAGTACATAAATCGCATACATTTTAGAGCTAATTACATCTTATTCCGAATTTTTTCTCAATTAATTCTGGATTTTTCATTGTTCTCGGATACATTTCTTAGCTGTCCGATACATTGCAAATGATATTTTACTTAATGGAATGTATTCGAGAGGGGATTTTTATATTTTTTAAAAAATAATAGAGAATTTTAGAAATTATGATATCTTAAGTTGTGTATTTATGTAATTTTTTTCTTATCATGATAATAAAAATTATAATTATAAATCATAAATTATAAGTCCATTCAAACAATCAGCTTCGTAGAAATAATTGAATGGTGAAAGTAAAATAGAGATATCTAAAGAAGAAGATACCGTTGCTTTTATCAACGACATCATTGTTGCTTTTATCTTTCTTTGTTTTTGGATGATTTGATATTTTGACATATAATTGAGGGGAACAAAAGAAGATATCGTTTGGATATGAATTTTTTTTAAATAAAATAAAATATTACTCCTATTTGATTATGTATTGAAATAATTTTTTATTAATTTGATAAGATAAGTTTTCAAATTTGTAAAATAGTTGTCATTCATATAATTCTATTCTTTTCTTAAAAGTGAAATACATGTTCAAACTTAATAATTATTTCTTTTGAAATATAACTTAATTAATTTCTAAACCACTAATGAGAAGAGCTTGGAGATGAAAGTTCTGTTGTAGAAGACACAGAGTACATAATTATTCGATCTTAAGAGGTATAAAAGTATAGGATTAATACAGGCTAACAACGAAAATCTCATTTTATGTAACGACTGATTTGGTGTGATCGCATCATTATTTTACTTATTATTTAATAATCATACTTTATCATTTACCTTATCTTTTTATAATAACTTTATCTCATACAATACTCTCTCTTTTTTCCTCCAAATTTGTCCTTTAAATTGCTAACATGTGACATTATACAATAACATAAATTAAAACGATACAATTCAATTAAACAATATAATACATTATGAAACAATATGTTACAACTATCCCAACAAAGTGTTAAGAGAAGCGAGACAATATTTTATTACCTTACTAACCTTCGACCCTAATTCAAAGGCCAATATTAAACCCAATCTCTTAAAAAGGGACACAAATGAAAGTTTGTTAATTTTGTTTGCAAACTCCCAAAAGGCTAAAATCCCAAATTAGACATAAACATAAACCTTAATCCAACTAAATCTCAAACTCTCAGAAATAAGAAGTTTAAAAAAA